CGACGACGACGTCGACGACGACGACGACGACGACGACGACGACAACGACGACGACGACCGCCACCATCACTATCACTATCACTGTCACTATCACTATCGCTATCGCTATCACTATCACCATCACCACTACCATCACCATCACCATCATCACCACCACAACCACCACCACCTCCACTACCAACGATCACAAGGAAAACTCGAGGGAAGATGAGAGGCGCGTGCGACGGCGGCATAGCGAGCTTTCTCGCTCTGGCGCTCCTCTGTTTATTCCACACGTCATGCATTGTGGACGGTATGTAATGCTTCCATTGCCCGTCAGTTTAGTTTCTCTCTCATTCGTTCTGTCTTTCTATTTCTCGTTGCTTCTTTCTTTTACGGTGGTTACAAAAACTACTACAGCATATACATACTAATTACTTAGGTCCAGATATATTAGTTTTCGTATCATATAAATCATTCCGCAAATTTAAATATACAGAAAAATGATGATGATGTTATAGATAGTATTTTTAAAATTTGCTACTGTTTATAGCTTATACCATACTCAATAAATAAATTTGTTGAAATAAGACATTTGTTTCTCGAGAATTGAAAGTTAATCATGAAATTAGATAATGAGATGGTGAAGCTGGCAAAAAGTGGAGTAAAATCAGTTTGTCATTTGACAACTTTTTGATGAACAAGCATTTAACGAAAAACTGTAGAACTAAAAAAAGGCTTCACTTGAATATAAAGGCATGTTCCGATACTTTTTCTAGTCATTGTACATACGTAGTATATGTATTGTATGATCCTTTCTCGAGTCGATCTTTTCTTCCCTAATTTCATTCGTGCATCCGTTTCTACCTGTTTCTCATTCTTCTCTTCTTTCCGACTTCTGCCCGACCGCTCTTCCTGCTCTTCCCCTCTTTTCTTCTTTTTTTTTTTACTTTCCGGACTACGTAACGTTGCGTAAGCCGTAAGCAACGCGGCATCATGCGCGAATACAGAAGGGCCGAATTAATCTTGTTGTACCGAGGCTTGTCGAGTATGCGGAAGGGTATATGTTTCATCGGCACAAACTGTATGAATATAAACTCCCTGTTTCACGCACAATTTATGTGGTAACTCCTTTTTTGCCACTATAAAGTAGTGTTCTGTTATAAAATTATTATTAACCTATTTCATTCAGGCCTCAGGTATAATGTATTCTATATATGTTTACGTAAAAGCACAAAGAAAATCTGAATAATATTCACAGTCATTCTATAAATAATATTGCTTGTTATGTTAGATACACACTGTACCTTGATTTTTACATTCATTATTTGTAATTGTTAGATCATTTTTATGTCTTTGAAAAAATATTTTTTTCAATCTGAATCAGATAGTCGAACCGATAAATTAGTTACTTAAATGAAAAATTAGAATATAAACAGAAATAATACTGTGTAGTACGATATAATTTAACTAAAGATCAGTATAATTGAAAATACAATACAAATTGTAACAATGTTTCTCGAAATGTTAAAATAATAATTTTATAAACATTTGTTATTGTTATAACTTAAACAATGTAAACTATCGAATTGTAGCATTCAATTTTGTGATGTAATGTATTAGAGGTTGTAAAAGTGAAGTAGAATGAAATTTAAGTACAAAAGAATTATTATGTTATAATGTTAGCAATGATATGTAAATACTATTTCATCGTGGAAGATATAAAAATCAATTGAGAATGCAATACACTAAAAATATGATAGTGTATTATTTGATAGTACAAAGTTAAAGAATGCTTGGTTTTAATCAAATTTGTGTAAATATAATACATATATCATATGTAATCGTACTTTTTATGTAGATAATTCTTTAAAAGGGCGGTAAAAAAGATCTAAATTATTATATGCCTACACATGTATAAGTTCACACATATTCTCAGTAACATATTTCATCTTAAAGTCCAATATAAATAACGGCAGCTGAAACTAAACTTAATTCAAACTAAAAAATTAAGGAATCCATTGACAAATATACATGTATTAACTAAATGAAAAATTTATGGAAAAGACTAAAAGCCTTTACAGATTAATAAATTAATTCGTCTCTCATAGTTAAATCGTTAAATATCTGAATTACACGTAGAAGAAAAAATACTCGCTATTTTTGTTATGTAGAAACTTTCCCAAGATGGAAACTTGGTTTTAAAATCGCGGTACAGTAATTACTTTTATTACATGGTAGTTATTTTCATAACGAAGACGTCGATAAGCGGTATCTCGTGATTTTGAAATCCAATCGTCTTCGCGAGATACGTAATCATTCGGGTAAATTGTGCGTGCAATGTGTATGCAAATGATTGATTTTCCAATGTTGCTTGCTTCGTCGTGTTACCTCGACTTACCAGTCTACGTATGCTATGAATTTATTATTATTATAAACACATCCTTATAGTCAGAGCACGGCCTTTTAGCGCCACGTTTCGTTGATAGTTAATTAAGATACGTTACGATCAATCTCATTTTGTTTTTGCCTCTTTCGGTGTCTTGTTGACCTTCCTTCGATACCATTCACACTCGTCTCGAAGAAATTGCTGCCTCTTGCAACAGAAGAATATATATTTCAGGATACTTTGTTCCGATATTTTCATTGGTAACTTTGCAAATAATTTGAATCGCATCGGCGTAATATTTGAAGTTAAGAGACCCTGCAATTTTTATTTGATAATTTTCATTGTATATAATTGTATCAATTCGCCGTGTCAATTTGATAAATAGTAATTTTTATTTTGCAATGTGACACTTTAAAATTGTGACATTTGAACTTTGAAATTGGGAGGCTTTGCAAGCTGATATGTTTTTTGACTTTTTCAGATAAAACTAATGCATGTATTTGTTAAATTCAGAACTTTTATTTGCGTACACTGACGGTGAAATATCTAGCGAATACATGTCTATCTGGTGGTTCTGTTGTGTCTCTGTATTTCTGATACAATCTATGTGTATTGAATATGTATACTAAAATTTTATGTAGATACTCAACTTTACTTATTTTACTATATGTACAAAGTATAATTATACATGTATGTTTTTTTGTTTTTTTGTGGTTTTCATTACGTTTTTATGGAATAGAACAAGATTGTATTATAAAGTGTTATAAAATCTATATTTAACATAACAGAATTATATATTGATATTGTATTTTACTGAATTTACTGCATATAATAGAATATTACAGAATATTACAGCGTAACGTGTTTTATTTTTGTTTTATTTTTGATTGAAATTAAAGCGTTGTACAATTTTTGATAGAATCTACAGGTTGTACCATGTAACGTCATATGTTTCGAATAAAAGTTAATCAGCTTTCAATCGGCCAGAAATTTTGGATAAAATCGGCTAAGAAATTTCAAAAAAATTGTTTTTTTGAGAAGAAGTTAAGGTCATCTTGACATTGATACTACATATAAAATGACACTGTGTATTTTTTACTTTGTACCGTTGTAGCCGATGTTAAGACGAGTTCAACGACCTACTTTATTATGACTGTGAAATGATCCTGAATCTTGAAATGACGATTTAATTATGGAAAATATTATCGTTAAAAATTGTCTTATTTCGATTAAATAGCACATTTCGAAATGGCGAGCCTCAATAGGATAAATTTTATTAATATCAATAATATTGAATTAATAATATTAATCATACGCACATTACAAAAGCAACATAAACAGCGCGTAAACATATATACCTTGTGTAGTATTGCAGTATCTTTGTAAAAAAAGGTTTGTCAGCCTTCGAAAGATGGCGTGATGTTGATTTTTATGTCACTCCATTGGTTGTAATTTGTAATATTGTAATATTGTGTAATATTGAAAATTTTATAAATTGTGTTTAGTTTCTCTCATCATTGTATATGTTACTAACGTTTCCTTTATCTTTGTTATATGTCTTATGTTTTATACAGACATTTGTATGTAGAAATTAGTAACCGCGATGAGACAAAGTATCTTTGAAGTGCGAGTTGACGCGACGGTTAAATCGTGGCTAGGTGCTGCGCGATCATACAGACAACGTAACGGAAAAAAGTGGCAGTCTTCGATTGGCACGCGATAGAAACAGTCCTATTGTATATTTGATTATGTATACTTTAGCATATCGTGATTAGATTATTTTCAAAGTTTTTTTGTTTATTTTCTTTTTCTTGCGGTATCCCGATCCTTACTGTATGTGTACATACATACATATATAATTTTTTATTATTCTTTTAGTCATAGTCGTGTTTCCTATATTTTTATAAATTATCAGCAATGCTTTTAATTATATATATATATATATATATATATATATAATATTCTATATAATAGAAATAATATTAAGTCTTTGATATCTCATAAATAGTGAATTTGTAATACTAAT